CGGAAGGGCTGGCAGCTGCTGCCGCCGGGGGAAGGCAGCAGAAAGCGGGCAGGGACTGCACCCCTGCGCGGCCTTGCTCCGTGACAGCGCTTGTCACATCTCGCGTGGGGAACGGTCAGCCCAGCAGAACCCTGGTCTGGCTCTAGGCCCTGGGTTTCCCCGTCCCTCTAACGCCCCACAGCCCATGGCAGGAGCCAGGTGCCTGCCTGGAGCCATAGTTCTGCTGAACAGAAATGCAGTAGCACTGTGAAAGGAACGGAAGCACCAAAAATGTACACAGAAGGAACAAGGAGCATTTTGGCTGAATTAGAAAAATACTGTAATGGTATATGGCAGGGTTAGCTAGTACGTGCTCTGAACCACAGATGAAGTTTTAATTCTGTGCCTGTGTATCATTTAGAAGTGTTGCTCTGAGTCTATGAATAACAAAAAAAAATTTCTAAAATAGTAAGACAAAATGTAATTTACTGGAACTAATACAAACTCCTCTGAACTTGCCAAAGACAACACAGTATGCTTCATTTCTTATGAATTGTTTTGGTGGGCACTGTACAGCACTTCTGCAAAGTTCTCCGAGATAAGATGGGATAAAAACACTGCATAGAAGTACACCGTTTAATTAAAGGCAGAATTAATGTTTACTGTAAGCATCTTGCAATGGGCTCAAATGTGAGTGCAAAATGAGAGGAACAGAGATTTCTTCACAGAGCTTGTATTAAAAAAAATAAAGTATTTTCAGTTGTTCAGCTCTACCATCACATGGCAGCATCAGTCCTGAATCTGAACAAAAAACTGAACTGCAAGTTATTTGCTTTTCTTCACTCTGAAATTGGTGTAAAAACATAAACATAGGGAAAGCAGGAGAAGGAAAAGAGCAGCAGTAGGGTGGAAAGGATGAATCACTTTTACCTGCAGCAGTAACTTAAGAGCATAATTGGTAACATAAACATATCCTTCATTATATATTAGGGCAACACTGTTGTGCACATCACTTTCAGCGGTGGAATGACATCTGATCTACTGGGACAGCAAGCAGAACAGTTATTCAGAGACAATGAAGATCTCTGCTTCAGCTGTCTTCATCTTCAACACTGAGACATCAACACAGTCTTTGGATCTGGAGAATCTACAATATGAATTTTCACAAGATCACAATCTCTAAGGTGAGCATGGTCCATGTCAGAAGAAAATGTGAAAAAGGTTGCAGGAAAGTGAAACCTGAGTATCATCACATGGAACTCTATAGCTGTTTTCTCTGACCTATGAAAAAAATCACAGAATCACACAGAACGGATGTTTTGATGTAAACTCTTATGGAGATACCAGTCCTTGATCTCCAGCTGCCCCATCGTTGCAAAGATGTTGTGGAAAAACTGAGGAGAATTTTTTTTTTCTTCTTTGGAAAACTGAGAGTATTTTTTGTCTTTTTAAGACCATTGAAATTGACTGAGCTGACTGTTAAAGTGCTCAAATAACCACTGAAACTAAGCTCTGTTTTTCAAAACAGGGAAAATAGAAGAAAAGGAGTCAACACACCCTGCGATCATTCAGATGTGAGAATTTGCCCATCACTCTAAGCCCCTTATTGTCTATAAAGAGGATAATCTTCTGCATGAAGGTTCGTTGCCATGTTTTGAAAGTCCCTGATTAGTCTATAACTGTAACACCAAGATCCAATTCTTTCAAGACTAGCGTAACCAAATATCAATTTTGCTTGGGTTTGACCCACATTCACCAGTTAAGAGCGAGTTAAAAGGCAACAAGCTTGGGGAGATGCTACTACTAAAGCAGGCAGGCTTCTCATCCATATGCAGGGTCACCCAAGATGTCTGCTGCCTTTCAGACAAGGCTGATCACAGGGAAAAGAGTGCATGCTGACAGCGTGAACCAATTAGGAAAAATGGGGTGTAAAACCAGAAATTATTATTCAAACATGATTCAAGTAACTCACGGTGACTCAGGTGGCTTTCTTATTGAGGTTATGGAGCAACAGCTTACCCAGATCTTCTTTCCACACCAAACACACAACTGCAACTCAGCAGAACCATTTTATATGCCTACAAATTGGTAAGTACAATTAACAGAGCTGGTGCTAGACTTGACCAAGACAAGTCTGAAGATCCTTGTTTGGCCAAATCCCAGTGATATGGGAATCTGAAGCTTGAATTAAGCTAGTCCACTAGACTAGCCCACAATATTAGGAAATATCAATTGCCAGATCAGATGCCTGCAGATCTCTCTACAGTACTGAAAGAAGAGAACAAAGTTCATCCCCCACCAGGACAGCAGTACACAGATGAGCTTCAGCCTAGAATTTTAATAATCATTATCTGCCTTTTGTCCAGGGCAAGTGAACTGCATGTCAGCTCTGTAACAGAATAGCTTAAGAGAACGGGTAATAATAAGCTCATAAAATAAACACTGCATTAGTATAGACCACGTGGAAGATAGCTGCAATATGCTTTACCTCCTTCCCCTCTCTCACCCCCCAAAAAAAACCACTCCCAGACCTAGTCACAAAAGGCACTAATACTGTGCTAGAGCTGAATATTTAAAGATGCTGCATGTTCTACACTCCTAAACCTTACATATATAAAAGCATGCTCTCTATTTACATGGTAACTTTTAATCCTTTTGAGAAGATTACTATTTTATCTCAAGAACATACAGGGAAAGTAACTCCTGACGCTAGATCCAAGTTAGGCTACATGAATCACAGAATCACTCAGGCCAGAAAAGACCTTCAAGATCGGAGTCCAACCATTAACCTAACACTGCCAAGTCCATCACTAAACCATGTCTCTAAGAACATCAATTTGGTATCTTAATTCAAATTAAAACAAAGGTTTTACCCGCACCTTGCGCTGATCTGAGAGCCACTAGTCATTTCTCCATTACCCTAGGTATAGGCAGCTTACAGTAAAAAGTTTCCTAGATTCAATTCAGTATTACCCATTTAACAGCAAGATGACAAAGCTCATCACAAGCTTACTCCCATTTTTCCAAACTTCAGATTATATTTGTCAAATGATCAGATTATTATTTAATATCCTGCGTAAAGTTTGAGAAGCTATCAACACTCCCTCCCCCCCAGATTAGTATATAGTAGCACATAGTATGTTGCTGTAAGTGTAGACAACACCGTAAATACATTTAGATTGTTAAAAGACATATATGGAGAGAAGCAAAGCTTGATATACAGATATTTTGTGAATAAAAATGCTTTGATCCTAGTGCTCTTAGAAGAATTGGACAACACAAGGCTGACTTTACAAAATTAGGAAGCTGGAAGTTCTCCCTTTTAATTAGGTGATGCCAAGAATACAGTAAGTGTATAATACCAACAAGCCACAATTAAATGCTTTGGACCAACCTAAAGCTGTCAGTTTAGTTAACTGGGACACTGGTCAGAACCAAGTGGAGAATTTTTACCATAGTGATCAAAATTTCTAGCGTAACTGAAAAGTGATGCAAAGAGAATCTTCCTATCACTGCTTGTGGATTTGTGTTTAGCTCCCTATACCAAGAGGCGCCAGAACACTTTGCGTGCCTGCTAGCCTGAGAAAAAACAAGTTGTGCACAGAAACAGCAGAAGTAAAGGAACAAGGCCAGCAGTACAGCCTTTCACATCTAATCTGTGTATCCTCTGATCTTTCAAAGATATGTTGCATTAATTTTAACAAGCAAGTGACATGCCCATATATATTAATAAATAAAATATTTGACTTGAAGTCATTGTTTGAAGGGTCCTATGCGATATGTCATTATCAGGAGAAATCCATGGTGACTGAATGACAAGATACTGTCTTCCAGATACCCCAGTGAGAAAGATAATAAATACAGGCAACAGGTTGACAGTTAAAGTTGTTATCTTTAATGAAATGATTTTGGAAACAGCATTGATTTCCATGACACCAACATTTTGGGAGCCCCATAAAATGCAGTTACATTCCAATGCCAGTATTACAGCCAGATCTCCTTTCACATGGCAAATAGGATCAAGAAAGCAACCATCAGACAGAAAAGACCCATAGCTTCCGACAGGGCGAATCCCAGGATAGCATATGAGAACAGCTGCTGCTTCAGAGAAGGATTTCTAAAAGAAAGCAAAGGTGTAAGACCTTTTTATCTATACAATTAAGATGTTTTTAATACAGTTTAATGTATCTGTCAGATTCAGAACCTCATAATTCCTTGCCACAGGTTCCATAAGAGGAAAATCCAGTAACTCCAAGCAGAAGTAATTTTTAACAAGAATTTCACTGAAGATAATTGACTGAGCAATGAAGATTAGATTCAGGCTATGCAGACTGTATATGGCTTTGCCAAATGCGCACAGTTTTTGTGACTACAAATATGCTTTTGAATTTGACTTCTCTACATCCTGCCATGCAGGAACTACCAGCACTATGCTTTATAGATTTTACTTCACATCTGTCACATCAGAACTGTATTTCAAGAAGTTTATGTGTATAACATTTCAAGTAGCTCTCACGCTAATACAGGATCTGAAACCACCTAAAGCAAAAAAGAAATTGACAGCACTTTGTTGAGAAAATGCAATAAATTATCCCTCCAAGAAGTGTGTGGGAGAGAAAAAAACCCTTCAACGTAATACTATGAAGTAATGTTCTGCAACCCCTTACTGACATGTTCATGCCAAATCCAAAGAAGGGAGACATTAGTCTTGTACTGAAAACACTTATGTTTCTTCAAGTGGAAACTGAACTTCCTTGTCTTCAGTAGGGCTTAAAAATCTTTATTAAGAAATAAGACTTAATTAAGTCTTGACTGGTTGAAGGAGTAATGAAGAAAATAAAACCTTCAGTAAAGCTTTTTTATGCCTGTATCAGTTCTGCTCTTCCATGATACCATGTGAACTATTCTTACTACCTGAACACTTTAAACTTATCTAGAAGAAGTTCACCTGTACTATAAAATTCCCACCTTCACCCTTTCAGATTTCTACAAGGAATGATCACTCATTCAATAAAGTAATTACATATCCCGAGATGTAAAGCTGAAATGTGGCAGAAAACTGAATTAAGCAGCCATTTCTAAACAACAATCCTGACTACAAAGTCTAAAGCATACAAACTCTCATTACTTATCACCAGCTTTCACACAGTTTCTCTTTAGGACTTCTCCCTTCACATGGGAAAAGATCCAGGCTACATTTTTAATTCAGTTCTGGAACTGAATGCTGAAACATTGGACTTCAGTGACCAAAACACTGACCAAGTCGAATGATCTCATCTCTTTCTTGTCTCTTCTCAGGTAGAGTGTACAAAGTTCTGAATTTGTACAGAGCCATCCTGATGAATATACTACAGTTTCGTATCATTCTATTTAGCCGTGTTTAACATTAATAGTAGTTATTAACAGAATTTATTACAGTGCCATCATCCCTACTACAACTTAATTTATCTGAGGATGCTGTCTCAAGATACATCTGCATGCAATTCAAGAATTTTATAAGAAAGAGATTGATTACCTGGCATAACCAATGATTAGACTACCGAAGACTGTTCCAATACCAGCACCAGAACCAGCCACACCTACTGTGGCAGCACCAGCACCAATAAATTTGGCAGCAGTGTCAATGTCCCTGTTGACAGCACTAGTCTGGAATTCTCTAAGTGCTAGTCGGGAGACAGCATTTTGGGCCCCATTAACTGTTGAGTTGCCCTAAGAAAACAAAACATGAAAAAACATTATATTCAGATACAGACAATTTTCTATGACCACTCTGAAAGTGTTATTCTGCAGTTTCAAAAGCTGTATTAGATCCAATGTCTAGTTCCTCTTTCAAGAGATGAGAATATAACTAAGAGTTAAAAGCTTCAGAATGTTACCTGTTCTGCCTGAAAGCAATCAACATTAAATGTTAGAGACTTCTCAGGGGAAACAGCAAGACAGCAACAAGTATTATTAGTTGTTTGACTTAAAGCAACTTTCACACTACATATTTGAGTTAGTACAAGTGAACTCTAGGTTGAGGACATTTAGGCTCACCAGGTAATTTAGGAAGATACAGAATTTTGTTTATAAGGTACCTCTCCATTCTTGACCTCTGGCCTAGACAACACAGATGCTGAAATTGGTCTGTACAAGACTCTTGATCCAGCACGGATCTGCAAGAGGAGGAAAAATGTTATATAAACAAAGAAACATTTCATCACAGCTGTTCCTGTAAAATAGTCTATAAAATTATAAGGCTATTATCTACTAAGGCATTTATCTTACTTGAAAGAGAGCAATCTTTGCATAGCTAGATATGCAGTAAACAATACAGAAGCAAACACTGCCATGCAATCTGATAGCATGGTTTTCAGGAGACATTATTGCAAATAGCTACATCATTCAGTGAACTCGCACGTGTGTTATACTGACAGAAAATACAGCAAAACAGCAACAAAAAAGCCAGGCAGACCAGCATGCAATGATAATACATTTTGAAATGAAAAGAAGTCATCAAAATGAATTCCAAGTTGTTAAGTGCACAGACATAACCTAGGCTTTTAAATCTAGCAAGGCCTAAATGAATGAATCCTCTTTCACAAGCGGCCTGCACATGTCCTTGGGCTTCCAACAGTCTAAGGTCATACTGGCTCTTGCACAAAGCTCTTCCTGCAAGGGAAACCTGTGCCTGAACCACGCTAAACCAGACGTTCTGCAGGCTGGAGAGGACGTTCTGAAGCAGAATAGTCCCTTGTCTCTGCAAGGGCAAAAAATCCCGGCCTTGCGTAGGACAAGCAACAGGCTGGAGTTTGACCTACAGCAAGGCGCGGAGCGCAGCAGGCCCCAGAGCTCTTCGCTGCGCTGCCCCCCCCCTTCGCCGCTCGTGTGGGAAGGCCCCTCACCTTGGCAAAGGGCCCTGGCCCACGCCAAGGAGGCGGGAAGGAGAACCCGGCCCTGCCGCAGCTCGTCCC